TAATTGACAAATTATTGTTTCTGCTGGAGGTTTGGCGTCATCGCTGCAGCCCGTGATTGAGGCCATGGTGAGAAGGCAATTACGTTACCGAGGAAATACACGATTATTGTCCGGTGTTGCTATCCAGCGTTCCGCGAACTTCATCCTGCCCGCGAGTCAATCGCGTTCGAAGATCCACTTGAGCAAGCGTAGCTGCGTCCAGGGTCATGGGGGTGAGGAGGAGGAAACGGAGGAGGAGCGTGAGTAGAGAGGGAAGCGGAAGGGGAGGGGGATGGAGAAAGTTTTGGATGGTTCCCCTTCTTTCCTGGTGAGGTTAATTTCTGTCCCGCGCTGCTTCAGCGATGGCGCGGCGGCCCACGGCTCTTCCACGGAAGGTCTCCGAGCTTTGCGCGCGCAGCAACATGAAAGGTCAAGCATAACCCGTCGACTGATAATTTATGGGGTTGCCCTTCGATTGGAAATCGCTGTCCTGTAACCAAAGCCCCTGGAACCAATGGTGTTCCGTCTCCGCGGGCCCATGGGATAGTTGAATGCGAGGGGCGCCAGAGGAACGAATGGAGGCGACCAGCGAAACAGCTGGAGACAGCTGCGTGGGCGGAGCCTTCGCTGGCGCGGCCTTCATGGATGTGGCCTTCATAGGCGTGACAACCGCTGCGGAGGGAAACTTTGGGTGAGCGCCCGCGATGCTGGTCCCGTGCGCTCGCCGAACCATCGCTGGCGGCGGGCCGTGACGATGCCCCTTCAACTTCGGCTGATCACGAGGAGACTCAAAAAGAATCCCGCCCGACGTTGAGTTCAGCAGGCACGTCACCAGGCACTGCCTCTTGCCATCGTCGTCCACCTCGGGGTGCTTGGTGGCAAAATGTGTCGGGCCACCAATTGGAAAGTTGGCGGAGGTACACATTCAATGAGGACTACACCGCCCCGCTTGCGCAAATGAGCGAGCTTTCCCCAGCAACCTCGCCGCCCATCTGACCCAGCACACTCTTCATTCCCAAGCACGGAGGCGGCAACGCGACTATGACAGTTTTGGCCAGAATGATTACAAAGGCGCAGCAATAGTATGTTTGCTGCCTTCGGCTGGCAATCCTGGCACGCCTGCACGAAAACGCTGCGCGCTGAGCTGACTGAGGCCCCTGTGATTACAGTTTCGGATGCTACGCAAGCCTGATGGCTCATGCGCACGTTTTCGGACGTCGAGAAGCGCCACGCGTGACACGCTCAGCGAGCTGGCAACGGATAGACCGCATGCCCTGCGCAACCCTCGTGGCGTCACGGAAATGCCACGCCCTGCGAGCCTGCAACTGATAGAGACCGCACACTTGCGCACCCCCTGTGGCGTCGAGCAGATGCCGCGCCCGACACGCCCTGCGAGCCTGCAGCGGATTAAGGAAGCACTCCGTGCGAACCCCCTTGTGGCGTCGAGTAACTACAGCGCCTGCCGCGCCCTGCGAGTTTGCAACGTAGAGAGATCGCACCCCTTGCGCACCCCATGTGGCATCGAGGAAATGCCGCGCCCTGCGAACCTACAACGGACACAGACCGCACCCACTGTGCACCTTTTGTAGCGTCAAGGACATGCCGCTCCTGCCGCGCCGTGCAAGCCTGCAACGGATACAGACCGCACCCAGTGCGCACCCTTTGTTGCGTCGACGAAATGCCGCGCTTGCCGCGCCCCGCGAGCCTGCAACGGATAGAGGCAGCAAGCCTTGTGGAATCATGCAACGGCCACGCCCTGCCAGCCTGCAGCTGCTAGAAGCCGTTTCCCCTTTGCGCACCCGCATGTGGCGTCGATGAAATGTCGCACCTGACGCGCCTTGCCGCCCTGCAACGGATACAGTGGACACTCCCTGCGACTTCAGATGCCACGTTTGCAAGTCCTGCGTGCCTGCAGCGACAGACAGCACCTTTGTCGCGCCCCTTGTGGCGTCGGGGAAATGCCGCGCCCTGCGAGCCTGCAACGGATACAGACCGCACCCAGTGCGCACCTTTCGTGGCGTCCGGGGAATGCCGTTCCTGCCGCGACCTGCGTGCTTGCAGCGGGCAAAGACAGCACGCCGTGCGCACCCCTGTGGCGTCGAGGAAAGACAGCGCCCGCCGCGCCCGAGCCTGCAACGGATAGAGACCGGATCCAGTACGCACCCCTTTGTGGCGTCGAGGAATTGCCGCGCCATGCGAGCTTGCCACGGATAGAGACCGCACCAAGTGCGCACCCCTTGTGGCGTCAAGGAAATGTCGCGCCTGCCGTGCCGTGCGCGCATGCAGCGGATAGAGACAGCACCCTTTTGCGCACCTCCATGTAGCGTCGAGGAATTGAAGCTTGCAGCGGATACATACCGCACCCAGTACGCACCCCGCTTGTGGTGTCGAGGAAATGCAGCGCCTGCCGCGCCCTGCGAGCTTGCAACGGATAGGGGCCGCACCCCTTGCGCACCCCCTTTGTGGCGTCGAGGAAATGCCGCGCCCTGTGAGCTTGCAACGGATAGAGACCGCCCGCACCCAGTGCGCACCCCTTGTGGCGCCAAGGAAGTGCAGCGCTTGCCGCGCCTTTCAAGCTTGCAGCGGCTAGAAACCACGCCCCTTGCGCACCCCTTGTGGCATCGATGAATTGCCGCGCCCGACACGCCCTGCGGCCGTGCAACGGAGAAAGTGGGGACGCTGTGCGAATCCTTCGTGGCATCAAGGAAATGCAGCGTTTGCCGCACCCTGCGAGCCTGCAACGAATACGGGCAGCACCCCCTGCGCACCCCATATGGCGTCAGGGAATTGCCGCGCCCTGCAAGCTTGCAACGGACACAGACCGCATCCAGTACGCACCCCTCGTGGCGTCGAGGAAATGCAGCTTTCGCCGCGCCTTGCAAGCCTGCAGCGGGTAGAGACAGCAACGCCACACCTGGCGCACTCCCCTGTGGCGTCGAGGAAATACAGCGCCTGCCGCGCCCTGCGAGCCTGCAACAGATAGAGACCGCACCCCTTGTGGAACCGAGGAGATACAGCGGCCATACCTTGCGAGCTTGCAGCGGTAGAGATCGCACCCCTTGCGCACCTCCTGCGGCGTCGAGGCAATGCAGCGCCTCGCACGCCTTGCGACCCTGGAATGGATACAGAGGGGAACCAGATCCGCAACCCCAAACGATAGAGACGAAGGCCGATGCTGCACTGTGCAGTGCTGTATCGGAGCCGCACCGCTCGACGAGCTCAGGGCTGCACTGAATAGATTTCAACAAGTTTGCCTGGGTCTGCTCAATCATTGAATCAGAGGTCCCACATTGAATTTCCGAAATTCAACAGGGGGGCCGTCGTCCAGAATCAAACATCTCAGTTCCCGACCCACGAGATTGGCACATTGAAAACTGAGAATTTCAACGGCTAACCTCGCGGATTGGAACATCCAAAGCTTCAGTTCGGGATTTCCCAACGTTGAGTCCCACCAGCTTTCTGGCCGTGAGTGGTCCAACGGGCTCGTTTCTGCTAACCCCCTTTTTCCCTTTCGGGAGGGGGGTCCCCCTCCTCCCTCCCCCTCCTCCCTCCCCCTCCTCCCTCCCCCTCCCCCCCGGGTCTGGACGGGGAGTTCCGCGAGACGTGGAGCGTCCAAGATGGCTCAAGATGACGCCAGGAGGGTCCCAGATAACCCTTGGTGGTTTCGAGTATCGTTCGACAGAGCCCAAGATGTTTCAAGACGGCCGCCAACATGCATCCAAGAGGCCACAATGCAGCAGTGGCCACGGAGCCTACCAGGGACGCCCCAGGGAGGCCCAAATCCTTGCAAGCCCCAAGGAGCAGCAATGTTTTCCCACGTGCTACGTGGGGGTCGGGTCTTCTCTCGGGCCCGCGTCGCACCTGCGTCTCACCGCCCACCTCCCCCTTCCCCCTTCTCCTTCTCGCCCTCACGCTCATCAGACACACGCGGGCGCATCTCGTACGTACACGGACGTTCGGCCGCACACACTCTCTCACACACACGCACACACATATTCACACAAGACATCGCTAGTACACACCTGGTGTGTTGATTGCGTCGACCGCGATCATGTTGTAGCGTTGCCAATTTGCGGCTGTCACGCCAACGTGTTGGTGGGCATGTCGTGTGACCCCTCTCGGGAGCCCTCGGGGGAAACCCGCGGGAGCCCAGAGGGGCTGGTGTGAGGTCGTGCTGGCCCCATGATCCCACAGGGTTGTGTGGCCGCGTTTTGACCGTAACCGCCGCTCCGATACAGAGCCCTCGTGGCGCGAACAAAACGGACGGCGGCAGTACACTGCACACGCATCATGCACATGCACATCACGCAGACGCAGACATGGGCACGCGCGCACACATAGCACAAGCTCCCAGGGCGTGGCAGGCGGGGCGCTTCCTCGACACCAGTAGGGGTGCGGTCTCTCTGTGTCCGCCGCACGCCCCACAAGCGTGGCAGGCGCTGCATTTGACACCCCAAGGGGCTTGCAGGTTCGTGTGTTCACCTGGCTCGTGACACGAAGGCTCTGTCTGCGGTGGCCCTCGCAGTGGTCCTGCGGGGGCACCGCCGTCAGCAGTTGGGACCAGCAGCACCCCGAGATCTCACGAGATCGCCCGAGGCGCCCGGGAGCCGTCCCTTCTCGCTCGACCGGACCCTCCGGGGGCGCGCCGCGGCTCGTGCCGAGGGGGGGCGGGCGGAGGAGGCGGGAGGCGCAGGAGGAGGAGCTGCCTCGGCGGGCCGCCCCGCCCGAGGTCGCCCGAGGCGCCCGAGGGCTTCCGGCTCCGAGCATGTCCTTTTTGGGTGGAGGGCAGAGGGTGCAGCCTGGACCGCCGGCTCGATGGATCTCCGAGGCGGGATCTGCAGCAGGGAGAATCGCAAGACGAGTGGATCCCCGAGGTGCAGGAGCCGTGCGGATTGCACCCCGAGCCCCCCACCCGAAGAAGATGCTCAGCGGCTGCAGCCCCGACGCCCCCCTCGGGGCCTCCGCCGTGGGCGGCCGGCCCCGGGCGCGCCGCCGGCCGCGCGCGCCCCGGGGCGCGCGAGGCCAGATCCGTACCGCAGCGGGGACCTGGCGCTGCCTCGCAGAGGGTGCCCGTCGCCCTTCCCCGCCGCCGGCCCACGGAAGAGGGGGCGGGAGGAGGCGGGGGGAGGTGGGGAGGAGGTGGGGAGGAGGTGGGGAGGAGGTGGGGAGGAGGTGGGAGGAGGTGGGGGCTGGGGGAGGAGGTGGGAGCAGGGGATGGGGTGGCAGGGGGAGGAGGCGGGAGGAGGTGGGAGGAGGGCAAGCCAGGTGCGCTGGCGTCATACCTGGCGTCGTACCCCTGGCTCTCGTCGCCTGCCACTGCGCAGAGCCCCCCCCCCTGCCTGTTGGCAGGGGGGGTGAGGGGGAGGGGGAGGGAGGAGGGCGGGAGGCGGAGGAAGGGGGAGGCAGGAGGAAAGGAGGAAAGAAAGGAGGAGGGAGGAGGGAGAGAGAGAGAGAGAGAGTCGGAAGAGTGAGCAGGAGGAGGAGGAGGAGGAGGAGGAGGAGGAGGAGGAGAAAATGGAGTAGGGGAGAGAGGAGGAGGAAGAAGAAGAGGAGCCCTGGACTGACTCGTCATGGGGCGCTACCGACACAGCTGCCGCACAGGCAAGACCCCGCGCCTGGGCCGCCCCGAACGCGGAGCTGCGATAGGCAGTGTGCATGTAGATCGGCAAACTCTTGCGGCAGGCCATGCACCTCACGGCCCCAGGTGCGCTCGGAGCGCGTCTGGAGCACCCGCACGCGCAAACGACCCAGATGTCCTCGAGACGAAGGCGTGGCAGTAGCAAAGCTGGCCCTCCGGGACGTGCCAAAGGCGGTCCTGCAGGCCCCCCAGGTCGGCGAGTTCGTCGCCGCGGACAAGAGCGCACGAGAGGTCCGACCGCCCTTGGCGGAGGGCACCTCCCGCGGCTGGGGATGAGGGCGTTGGCATTTGTAAGGAAAGGCGCGGTTCCACGAGTCGGCCAGGCCCTACCAGTGTACGGGGATGGTCGAAGCAGCGGAGCAGACATGGACCCTAAAACAGTTGCAGGCACAGGCGACGTTCTCCCGAACGCAGCGTTCACGAACGCGGCGTTCCCCAAGGCGGACGCCAAGGTCGCGAAGGCTCGTGTTCCTCCTGCGACTGTGACACTGGTGTCACGGAGGCTTGTGTTCCTCCTGCAACCCCAGGGGTGTTGTTGCTGCTGCCACGTGTGCGGACTGTGTTCTCGCATTCTCACATTCTCAGCGCAGACACCAAGAAGTGCTTCCATATGAACGACGCGGTCCTGGTGGCGATCGCCTGGAGCTCCAGCCAAAAACCGCGGCGTGGACGCTTGCCGGGGCAGCCGCGCTCCCGCGCGAGCTGCAGAGGCACCGCGCGGCAGCGCTCCCCCCTCCCTGCTCGGCCAGCATGAGGCCAGACTCGGCACAGCCACGGACAGGCTGCGCACCCTCGGGGCCCTCGGGCAAGGCTTTTGGCTGTTCGCGCACCTAGCTCAGCATCTACGCAAGGCATGGCCTCTGCCCTGCTCAGCACCTACGCCGGCGTGGCCAGCAGGCACGCCCTTCGAGGCTCAAGGGACGGGGGTCGATGCAAACGGAGGTCAACCAGAGCGTTGGATCTTGCAGGATCCTGCAGAGGCAGGGTTGCATTGACACGGGCTTGGGCGCAGGATCCTGCGGATCTTGTAGAGCTTGATTGGCCCAGGTCTGGATTGATCCGGGTCAGTAGATCCCCGAGCCCCGTGGGCCGCCACAGCGGCGCACCGGGGGACGCAGTGCCACGACGACGCGCTGGCCCATGGCTGTGGAAAGTTGGCGAACAGGAGCCTTGAACCATCAAGTAAGGAGGTCTTGAGCCTCTCTCGCAGTACGGGCGAAGCATGCTCGCAATGGGCGACAACTCCGAGGGCGGCCGCTTTCAGAACGGGCGGCGCCCTGACCACAGAGCGGGTAGCAGGCGACATCGGGGCTTCGGTGGATGAGCTTCGTGAAGCCCTTGGAGCAAGCGCGAGCCCAGGCGCGAACAGAACTGAGCAGCCGCGGTGCTGATCGGGCCTCACTCCTGACGACCTTTCGTCGTGAAACTCCCTGAGACGAACACACGCGGACTTGAGTCAGCGCTTGCCCGAGTACGAGAGAGCTCTGCTACGTGGGGCCGGAGGCGGAGAAAAGGCGGGCTATCCGCAGTACTTTGACGACCTGGCGCGTTCCACTGTGGAAGGGCACTGGTCGACGGCGCTGCACGCGCGAGCGCTTGTGCGCGGGCCAGAGAGCGCGCGAACCGAGCTAGACATTGCCTCCGCTCTCTTCCAGAACGTCGCGCGCCACGGAAGGCTCGAGGACCCAGCTGCCAGGCTGATCACGCGCTGGCTCCGCCACGAGTCTTTGCTAGGACAGAGGTTCCCCAAGTGGCGCAACCAGCGCCCCCAACGGCCAGCGGGCTCCCTGAGTACCTGAGTACCTCCCTGAGTACCTCCCTGCTCCCTGAGTACCTCACTGCTCGAACGCGCGACCCCAGCCATCGAGTCCCACGAGGGTGCGGGGCGACCAGGGTTGGCGCCTCTGCTCGCCACCCGACGGCGGAACAGGTTGCGGCAGGGCGGCCCGCAGGCCAGGGAAGGCGACCCGCGTGGCAAGAGGGAGAAGCACGCCGGGCGCCCCGTAGACCAGTGCACGCTCTTCGTGGTCGGGTCGCCGCGGCGCCGGGGCCAGCCATGCCCGGCAGCGGCCAATGCTGGGCGAGCGCTGCCTGGGCGACCAGCAGAGCGCGGAGCAGAGCATATCCGCGCCGCGCCGCTCAGACGCCGGCGCTGCAGCGCCCTGAGCACGCCAGCCTGCATCTTCGAGCGAGCGCCGGGATTAAGGGCTCCCAGCTCCACAATCGGATCCCAAGAGGGGAGATGGTGAAGCCGACAGAGGATGTTGTGGCGAGATGCCACCTGTATATGTATCTGGACATGTGCGCGCGTGCGCACCCCGTGTATAATACGTACATATATGTGCACATATAGGCATACAAACATGCATACATGAATACATGCATACATGCATGCTTGCATGTATGCGTGCATATATATATATATATAAATAAATATATACGCACATACGTGCACACGGACATACATACATACATACATACCTACATGCATACATACATGCATACATACATACAAATATACATACATAGATACAGACAGACAGACAGACAGGCAGACAGACAGACAGACAGACAGATAGACAGACAGACATACATACATACACACATGCATGCATACATACATACATACATACATACATACATGCACACATACATACATACATACATACATACATACATCCATACATACATGCATACGTACATACGTACATACGTACATACGTACATACGTACATACGTACATACATACATACATACACACATACATACATACATACATACATACATGCATACATGCATACATACATACGTACATGCGTACATACGTGCATACACACACACATATATATATATATATATATATATATATACATCTATGCATGCATATATATATATACATACCTGCATGCATGCATGTATACATACATACAAACATACATACATGCATACATGCATGCATGCATGCATGCATACATACATACATACACACACATGCAGACAGACAGACAGACAAAGACAGACAGACAGACAGACAGACAGACAGACAGACAGACAGACAGGCATGCATACATACATACAGACATACATCAAGGAATGCATACACACATGTACACATACACATTCATATACCTACATACATACGTACACATATACATACGCATGCACATGTACATATACATACACGCATACGTGCATATCTAGAATTCTGCACCCTTACACATGCACATCGCCATTCGTAGACGAACATTTGCATGCGAGTGGAGATGGATTAGGGAGCGACGGACCGAGAAGGAGACGAGGAGGAGGAACAAGGCGGGAGGGAGGAGGGGGAGGAGGAGGAGCCACAGCAGCACGAAGGAGGGCGAGCGAGCGGGAGGGGGACAAGCAGGAGCAGGCGCCCGGGGGCGGCCAGCGGCCGCGCGCCACCTTTCCCCCCCAGGGGCTTGTGCTTCCCCACGAAGGAGCGGGGCACCTACCTCTGCTCGAGGCGCCGTTGTCGCCGCCGCTGTCGCCGTCCTCTTCGTCGCCCGCGGCTGCCGTCGTCTTTGCCTCCGCTCGGGTTGCCGTCGTCGACGTGGCCGCCGCTTCTGTCGCCGCCGCCGTCGTACCAGCCGCCGCTCGGGGCGCCGCTCTGCTGGGAGATCGAGCGCCGTGGGGGACCTCGGGAGGCCCGCCGCGCCGGAGCTAGCAGGGGAGGGGGGGGGGGAGGACGGGGAGGAGGAGGAACGAGGAAGCAGGAACGAGGAACGAGGAGGGAGAGGCGGAGGAGGAGGAGGAGGAGGAGGAGGAGGAGGAGGAGGAGGAGGAGTAGCAGGAGGAAAGGAGAGGAAGCTGGGCGCGGCCTGCCTCTCCCCCCGTCTTGCCTTGGCGGGCGCGCGCACACGACCGTCGGCGCGTGCCACGGCAGCAGGAGGCGAGGAGGGCGAGCGAGAGGGAGAGGTGAGGGCCAGGGCCGGAGGAGGACGAGGACGGGCGGAAGGGGAGGCACAGCAGCAGCAGCAGCAGCAGCAGCAGCAGCAGCAGCAGCAGCAGTGTGGACGACCGCAAGAGGAGCGCAGGGAGCGGGAGCGGGAGCAGGACCGAGGGGAGGAGGAGCATCCGGCAGCGGCATAATCGGCAGAAGCGGAAGGGGGACGAGGAGGAGGAGGAGGAGGAGGAGGAGGAGGAGGAGGAGGAGGAGCAGGTGGGGGTGCAGCTAGAGGCGGAGGGGGAGGAGGCAAAAGTGAGGAGGAGGAGGAGGAGGAGGAGGAGGAGGAGGAGGAGTAGAAGTCGGGCGAAGACGACAGGAGCAGGAGCAGCAGCAGAATTAGTTGAAGGGGCGGAGGAAGAGGAGAAAGAGCAAAGGGGAACGATGAAGAGGAAGTGGAGGAGAAGGAGTTGATGAAACGAAGCTGAGTGAGTGGACGAGAAAGCTATCGTTGTTTTATTGAATCGCTTCGCTCATTCCGCCAGCCCACATTGTCGCACAGCTGTCGGCTGGCCATGTGGTCGTTGGCAGTGTGAAGCTGCGGGGGCGGGGGCTGTTTTTCTGAGTCGTTGCGTTCGGAATGGTTAAAAAGTCGGGGCTGAAGCAGCTCTCGGGGAGCAGCTTCAGGACGATTCGTCTGGACTTTCTGGGGAGTTGTCGGGGGAATCGCTTGTTTTTTCCACCGGGTTTCTAGGTGTTCGTGGGGCTGCTGGAGCCTTGTGTTCTAGGTGTTCGTAGGTTTCTGGCTTTGGGGGGGCTGCTGGAGCCTTCGTGGGGGCGTGGTGCCCGTGGATGCTCACCTTGGGGCCGTTCGAGTAAACGCAACACTCCCCACCTGGCGTTTCAACGGGATCAATGGTGCTTCATGTTGGCGCGCCCTTGGCGAGGGAGGAGGAGGAGGAGGAAGAGGATGAGGAGGAGGAGGAGGAGAAGGAGTAATACGGGAGGATTTGGACGAGGAGGAGGCCTCTCGATGGTTTTTGGGGGCAGATTGGGGCCAAACTTGATCGTGGACAAGACGCCCCTTTGGGAAGCGTCTTGGGGACTCTTGGGAGGACTCTTTCGGAAAGATGGATATGTAGAGAGATAGGATGGGGAGACGGGTGAAGGAGGGAAATGGCAGTGTTTTGATTTGCCTCCATGAGCTATAAAATGTCTGCTCTTCTTGTAGCTCGGTTCACCCCTATGCTGTGTGCACCGAGGTTGGTTGTCTTGGCCTTTGAACAGGGAGGGGCTGCGAAGCGGAGGATGAAGAGCGGGAGGAAGAGGAGGACATGGATGAGGAGAAGGAGGATGACAACGAGGGGGGCGGGGGCCTGATGGCACCGTTTCGATATTGCCCACCCCCCGTCGGCACGGCTGGCTTCCTCCCTACTCCCTACTCCTTCCTTTCCCTCCTGCCCTATTCCTCCTCTCCTCTCTTTCTTCCTCGGTTTGTTTGTCCTCCCCACTCTGGCACAACACGCAACCCGCATTCGTAACTCATGTCTCTGCAGATGCGGCCTCACCCCCTCCGGCCCCGCATTCACTTCGCCAATGCACCAACCACTGTGCTGTGACTCTTCTTTGCTCCGTGACAGAGCCCGAGCGCGCGCAAGGCACGCGCGTGGTTTTAGTGGCGTCCGCTTCCCCCGGGCCCAGGCGCAGCACTCTTGCCCCCCAAGGTAGCCAATCCACTTCCACCCTCGGGGTCTGGGGCTCCTCTTCGGAGCTCTGGAAAGCGGTGCCGGCTTCAAGAGGCGTCCACGACACGATTCCGACATACGAGCGGCCCGAAAATTAGTTCGGCCGGCCCCAGATGGATTCCAGATTTCTCCGGGAAGGCCAAGATGGCCTTAAGACGGCTCCAGAGACCAGAGACCCCCAAGGCGTCCCAAGACGGTTCCAACAGCAACCACAAGACGGCCCCAAGAGGCAATCATCGCCCAAATCCGATTGGAAAGCGTACATGTTTGACATGTTCGTTGTTTTGTGGTTTTGCCGCGTCCAAGACGGTCAAAGAGGGCTCCAATACTGCCGCAAGACAAGACGGCCCAAAAGGTTCCCAAGACGGCCCCAAGGCGGCCCAACAGCGCCCCAAGCAAGAGAGCCCTAACAGAGACCCAAGAGGGGGGACATCGAACTGACAGCTCAAGCGTTCCCCCCCCCCTCCAGAGGACCCTATTTCCCCAATCAGAGCTTGCCTCTGTAGGGGTCCCAGCGGATTCATATGGTTAGGTTAGGTTTGTCGCCGATTTTCGCTGCACGCCCGGGTGCCTGGGAGCCCGGGGGTGCCCGGGGCCCGGGTGCCCGGGGGGGGCCCGGAGGTGCCTGGGTGCCCGGGTGCCCGGGTGCCTGGGCGTGCCCGGGCGTGCCCGGGGGTGCCCTATAGCTTTATAATACGGTAGAGGGAAACAATTATTGAACACTCCCCCTCCCCCCAACTCAATGTTGGCACGCGCGGGAAACACTGCGGCCGAAGTGCATCTCATCAGACCCACCGCCAACTTTGAACATTGGGGGGAGGGGGAGGCGTTGACAGATGAATTTGGCATGAGTGTTCGCTAATTTGTTCCGAGGCCTGTGGGTATGTTGCCCGGCACGTGGCTACGCTCGAACTGATTGGGGTGCAGAAATACAGGGCGCGGTACACGGGAAAATGTTCGAGGGGTGGACTGGGGAGGAGTCGTCTCAATCACTGTCAAAGTCACACCGTCAACCGTGGACTTACCCCGGACTGAGTCAGACAGGGGCAAGTCGAACTGGACACTTTGCGTTTCGACTTTTACGACGAACCACGGCGGCGGCCGAATGACAACGACGACGTCCGGGCAACAAGCAAGAAACGGCCCGACCGCGGCTGCATGTTGCCAGGACTAGCGCCTACCCAACGGCCCCGGGGCTTCCTGGAGGCGCTTCGCGCATCCCACCTTATTTTTCACGTATTACTCGTACCACTCGTCCCAGCACTCTCTATGTTTTACATATTACTCGTATCACTCGTAAGAAAAAGAGAAAAAACAATAATCTGTTTCTTTCTGCGAGTGATACGAATAATATGTGAAAACGTAGGGAGTGATGGGACAAGTGATACGAGTAATACATGACGAATGAGGCGCGGGACGACCCGGGCGCCAAAACACTAAAAAGGGGTGCATATATATATATATATATATATATATATATATATACATATATACATATATACATATGCGCACATACATATACATATAAACATATGTATACATCATAATGGTCCCGCAGAAATCCTTACCCGCAGAAGCGCCCGGCCAACTCGCAGTTGACGGGGTAAACTACAACATGAGACGGTAGAGGGAAACAATTATTGAACACTCCCCCTCCCCCCAACTCAATGTTGGCACGCGCGGGAAACACTGCGGCCGAAGTGCATCTCATCAGACCCACCGCCAACTTTGAACATTGGGGGGAGGGGGAGGCGTTGACAGATGAATTTGGCATGAGTGTTCGCTAATTTGTTCCGAGGCCTGTAGCTCTGTAGCCCAATAGCCCTATGGCCCTACAACTCTATAGCCCTATAGCTCTATAGCCCTATAGCTCTATAGCCCTATAGCCCCCTAGCCCTCTAGCCCTGATTGGGGCTGGTCTCCTGTATCATTCGGGTGTGTACTGGAGCGCCTTGATGCATGTTGAATGCATCGGGGGGGCACTGGGGAGCCTGCGCAGGCCTCCTTGGCAATATTGAACAAAATCTTGGCCTAATCCTTGAGTTAGGGAGGAAGAGAGGGAGAATGGAACAAGAAGAGGAGCTAGGAGGAGAAGGAGGAGGAGGAGGCAGAGGAGGAGAAGGGAGGGTGAGGACAACGACGAGGGCGGCGGCGACGACGATCGTCGGCTGGCCACCTGGGGCGCGCCCAACGCCAGGCCTGGCGACGACGCGCCGCTCCGGAGTTGGTCGTTGCGCCGCCTGCTGCCCCGCCCCTTCCCTGCAGCAGGAAGATGGAAGGAGGGGTAGTAGTAGTAGTAGTAGTAGTAGTAGTAGTAGTAGTAGTAGTAGTAGTAGTAGTAGTAGTAGTAGTAGTCGTAGTCGTAGTCGTAGTCGTAGTCGTAGTCGTAGTCGTAGTCGTAGTCGTAGGTAGTAGTCGTAGTAGAGTAGTAGTAGTAGTAGTAGTAGTAGTAGTAGTAGTAGTAGTCGTAGTAGTAGTCGTAGTAGTCGTAGTAGTAGTCGTAGTAGTAGTAGTAGTAGTAGTAGTAGTAGTAGTAGTAGTAGTAGTAGTAGTAGTAGTAGTAGTAGTAGTAGTAGTAGTAGTAGTAGTAGTAGTAGTAGTAGTAGTAGTAGTAGTAGTAGTAGGAGTAGTAGTAGGAGTAGAGAGTAGTAGTAGGAGTCAAGCTAGCCAGCTCGAGCGAGTCAAGCATGGCATGCCCAGTCCCACCCGCCCTCCCACAACATAAGAAGCAAAGCTGGCACAACTGGGGGCCGAAGTCACACCGGCCAGCCGGTTTGGTACAGCTGATGCGGCCGCGATGGCGGTTGCCGACGGGAACTGGCGAGCGCGTGTTGAATGCCGCGCACGCATTGCCAGACGAGTCGAGAATGGCCCGGTACACCGCAGGAAGCCAGAGGTGGCCGGAGGAAGCCCGACGGTCTGACAGGACACCCCAAAGCATTTTTGTGAAAAAGCATTGGGTTTTTGATGTTTTTATGTTGAAATGCTTGCAAACACACGGTGTTCGGTAGGATTCTGACATGAACGCGCGAGTGTGCTCTTTGTGGTATTTTTTGCACAGGATTCGCGGCCTGGGTGCATGACAGAGCATCGCGAGTGCACCGCGCGATGACGTGAAATCGCTGGATTTGACAGAATTCTTAAGATTCCTATGGTTTTCCTATGATTTCAGCAAGAGAGCCCGGGCGGGAAATTTGTACAATTTTTGTGAAAAAGCATTGGGTTTTTGATGTTTTTATGTTGAAATGCTTGCAAACACACGGTGTTCGGTAGGATTCTGACATGAACGCGCGCGTGTGCTCTTTGTGGTATTTTTTGCAATGGATTATCGCCGTGGACGACAGGACGTCCATGTCGAGAGGAAAAAATAAGAAAAATGTTGATTTTGTATTGTTTTTTACAGGTTAGGATGGGACCACCCGGATGCGCCCGCTATCTGCCGGCCTGAGGGGGGAGTAGGAGTATATTCGAATAAGGAATAAGGATAGGAGTAGGAGTAGGAGCAGGAGCAGGAGTGATAGTCGTAGTAGTAGTAGTAGTAGTAGTAGTAGTAGTAGTAGTAGTAGTAGTAGTCGTAGTAGTCGTAGTCGTAGTAGTCGTAGTCGTAGTAGTCGTAGTCGTAGTCGTAGTAGTAGTAGTAGTAGTAGTAGTAGTAGTAGTAGTAGTAGTAGTAGTAGTAGTAGTTGTAGTAGTAGTAGTAGTAGTAGTGGTAGTAGTAGTAGTGGTAGTAG